CCGGAAGACTACCTACAAACCATTTAGGGCAAGCAAAGTTAAGACAAATGTAGGGACCCATGGTGAGTGAACTTTTTAAAGTAATCGTGTATGTGGGGAGGCTGGAGGCTGGGGGAGTCCAAGGGAGCATCACAGGTAACAATGATGCTAGTTTGTTTGCTTTTCCTTTCTTCCCTGTTTTCTTTCTTTCTTTCTTTCTTTCTTTTTTTTTTTTTTTTCTCCATACTGGGGATAGAACCCAGAGCCTCATAAGCAAGGATTCTGTCACTGAGATATGTTCCCAACCTATCTTTGTTTTTGGTTTTGTAGTCTGGGGATTAAACCCAGGAATTTATGAGCTGCATCTCAAACATTTATAATTTTCTTTTTTTTTCATGGCAGTGTTTCACTAAATGGCCCAGGCTAGTCATGAATTTGCAGTCCTCCTGCCTCAGCCTCCATAGTAGCTAGGGTTACAGGTGTCTTCCGCCATGCTTGGCTATGAGGGTGCTGGGTTTTAAGTTGGTGGGAGCTCCTGAGTATTCTAGGATTCATAACTGTTATGACTATGACATTTTAATGTTCAGGTCTTGAATGTTATACAATACACTTGAGAACCACTGCACGGCTAGAATTGCATCATCAAAGTGTATGGAAGGACAAGGTTTATATATGAACCCTAGGAAGGATTTTTATGATTCTCCGAAGTCCCCTGGGTACCAGAGTCTTCCTGTCACTGCCCTCAGTGAACGTGGATTCCTGGGAATGACTTTGCTAAAGTAGGAGCGCTTCCTTGTCCCCCATACCACCTTGCTGCAGTGGATGTTCTTAGATTCTCTGTGGGGAGCGGCTCCCTGATGCTGCATATGTCCTGTTTCCTCCCAAGTTCTGGCTGCCAAATCCTGACTGAATGTGGGACAGCAAGAGACAATATCTGAGCTATGTGACAGCAGTGATGAATCTAAGAGACTCTAAATAAAAGAAGGAGGGGGAGTGAGATGACCCAAGGCCCTCCAGATCCTGAATAGACCCAGAGCGCAGGCCCGGCGAGTGAGTGAGATGACCCAGGGCTGCGGATCCTCATTCGATGCAGAGCGCAGGCCCAGCGAGGAATCTTTCAGTAGAACTCCATGCAAAGAGGCTAGAGGCAAGACCCACCCAGCTGATTCAGGAGCAGAACATCTTGCCGGAGTGACACAAAGGGTTCAACTCTAACGCCTGCAGCAGAAA